CTCTGAAGTCTCAAAGGAGATGGGGTACAGGATAAGGGTCTTTCCAAACTGTGACAGTTATTTCTCTCAAAAAGTTAGCCAGAAAATAATAAGTAATTTAGAGCCTTACTCTTTGGTGTTAGACATACGATGTTTCTAACTGTTTTTTACCTCTCCACAGCCCCAAAACTGTACTTTCTTAAGATGATCAAGAAATAGCAACCCAAGTAATGGTCATCAAATTTCTTCCGAGTGCTAATAAAGCAAAGGCAGTGAAAAATAAACTAGTTCATTATTATGTTACAGAAAAAGCTTTATGATTATCCTACTTAAATTAAATGGAATGAAACAGATGTAGGCAATTTATTAACCAGGCTCGAGGAAGGATTATGTTCAAAACTCAAATTTAACGTCAACTATTCTGGCACAAGTGGGAACATGCTGATTAAAGTTGCTAGGGATACAAAGTTGGCAGAGATCATGAGAGGTCTAAAATTAAATAGTGCTACATTAAAACTACATAGTAAAGCAATGTATTTCAAGATTAATATAAAAAACTTCAGATGTGAATTCATTAATTAGAAATTACTGGAGAGAAGAACCTGAATGGTTTGCTTAACCACAAGAAAACAATGTGAGGCAGCCAAAGAAGGTATCAGGAGAAGCATCAAGCAAAAATAAGGAAGTATTATGTAATTTTCAAGACACTTGGAGATCTCATGGGGCTATTTATGTTAAGAGATACCTGCACCATTTTAGTTTGAACATAACAGCTACTGGAATGCTTTGAGGAAGAAAAGCATGTTGGGAGTAGAAAACAAAACCAGCTTTTCTTTGCTTAGCAGATTAAAAGATGAGAGATATGAATGCTGCCTATAAATACTGCACAGTGAATAAAAACTAGGGAAGGAAAAAAAATATTAAGGTGAAGCACAGTGCCAGCACAGCAACAAAGGTGCACAGAAATGCCATGAATTAGATTTTTTGCCATAAATTTAGCTCTAAAAGAAAATCAAACAATGAATGTCTACCCTAGTCCACTGAATAGAACAGCAGGTACAAAAAGCACCTACTTTTAAAAAAAGACAGAAAACTTTATTAGGGGATTAAATGAAATTTGGCTCTTCATAATAAGGGAGGAGACTAGATAACCCAGGAAGTTTCTGCTAGTCCTTTAAAAGCAAATATGCACAACTCTCAAAGAGAGGAGCAATCAGAACAGCACCCATACGTTCTGCTCTGAAACCGGTCTTTAACAGAGAAAGGCAGTTTATCCACAGCCGGTTTCAGCCAGCTCCATGCTGTAAGGGCACGCTACCACACATTACACGGATCAGCAAGGCCGACGTACCGTGCATGCCACAAACCCCGTGCTTTCGGTGGCACGGCTTCTTCCAGACAGCCCCTGTACAAATCAAGCCCCGGTGGGAAAAGTGCTGAGGGTTGGATTGCACCCAGGGCTGGGGAGAGGCATGAGCTGGCGGAGGCAGAGGCGGCTGGTCCGGTCCTGTCCTGCCCTGCCCTTCTTGCCGGCCGGCTGAGGAGCTCTGCCCGCCGGGCTGCCCCCGTTTCCGGCGTGGCGGGAAGCCGGCCGCTGTCCCTCGGCCCCACAAGGTGCTGAGGGAGCAGCGAGGTGAGCGGCAGCGAGGCCGGCCCGACCATCACTCTCACGGCGCTGCCGGGGCGCACCGACCACGGCTTCAGCCTCCCTTCTGCCGGCTCTCGACCGCCTTTTTATATAATCGGTAGGGCGGCAGGCGCAGCGGTTACACAACAGCGAGCGGGAGCGAAGGCTCCCGGCCCGGCTCGGGGGCAGCTGCCTGGGTGTGAGGGGGAAGGGTCTGAGGGGGGGGAGGCGCGCGCCCGCTCCGGCCAACGGCCTCAGCTGCCCGGGCGCGCGGCAGCCGCGCACTCCCCCCGCCCGCCCGCCCGCCTGACAGCACGGGGGCTCGCGCCGCCGCCATCACGACCCCTTCGTTCCCCGCCGCCGTCGCTGGGCTCCGGCACCGCGGGGCGGGGGGCAGCCCGCCCGCCCGCCTGCCCCCCCCGGCACGACGGCGACCCCCCCACCACCACCCCAATACCCTCAGCGGCTTCTCGGCCCGGCGCTGCCCGCGGCCCTCACTCACCATTGCAGCACTGGGTGCCGGAAGCGAGCGCCCAGCCAGCCGGGTCCCCGAGCTTGGCTCCTTTTTTTTTTTTTTTTTTTTTTTTTTTTTTTCCCCTTTCCCTCCCCTTCCCCCCGTTTTTTACCCCCCTCAACCTGGAAGTGAATCTGCTTCAGCCGGCCGGGAAGCGGCGCCGAGCCCGCCTCCCTTAAAGGGGCCGCGCCAGGCACATGCTGCCTGCTCTCTGGGTGAGTGGGAACCTCAAAATCCAGTTTTAAGGATGAAAAGCGTAACGTGTCAGGAGAAGGGTATATTATTCAACAAAACGCATTGGCTTCGCGTGTTACGGTGTGTGTGAGACCGTCCCTGACGCCTCTTTGCTTTCGTTTTGGAACAAGGATGAAGCAGCACCGAAGCGCCGGTGAGTCTGTGCAAGCAGAGGCTGCTGAGGAGTGAAGCGGTTTTATAGCAGTTCCTTGTCTTTGGGTAACCTCTCATAACCAGGAATTCAGCGTCACCTTTATGCTTGTTGCTCACAGATCAACCTCTCTAATTTAAATGTTTTCTGCCCACACTAGTTTATTCTAGCAATATGAATAATTATCTGCTTCAGTACAGTAAGTTTTGTCACCTGCTTCAAAGTTGGAGAGCTTTGCCATAAGCTTTTATACAAATTAATTTTAGGTTTCAGATACAGTAGTAGTGATGAACACCTGTCTTTTAACAAATACATACTATGAAGTATTGTTGGTTTACTTTTTGTTTCAGGATGCAAAGTGAAGAGTGCTACAATTACCCTGCCCATGTAAAATGAAATTATACAGAGCTTACTGTTAAACCTTTAAAGAATTGCCTATTCTACGTACAGCAGCTTTGAATAAAAGTTGTTTGCAAACCCAAAAACCACATAAACATTAAGGAACAGTTGCTGAAATCATTTATGTGTCTGACATTATAAGATGACAAAATATTCTACAAATATTACCAAGCACAGTTTTGCCTATTTAGGGACTACATCACAAAGGTCAGTTATAGTCCCAATTCTTTAGATTAGAGTGTTGATGTAGAGAAAATAAATTGTGTGCTAAGGATCTGACAACACAATCAAAAGCCCTCGTGTTCTGAATTTAACCACTTAAAAATCTAATCTGTTTAGAAGAAATATTTTAATTTCCTTCTGATTTCTTACTTATTATGGACACAGAAATTATCTTAGATTATGGAGGGGCTAGTACTGTTAGTCTTGGTTCATTACATGTTCCTTCTAGATCCTAACGTCTCTGGAGCTGCCAGGCTGTTCTTGCCATACCTATTAACAAATTCACTCATTCACTCCAACCTGACTATCACCAGATATCTTGTCTTTGCCTTTTTCTTATTCCATCTGGATTTATGATAGGAACTATCTTCCTTTCTCCCGTCTGGCCTCAGATGGTGAAAACTTTAAAGCGACAGACTGATCCCCTGCCCTGGGCACCCATCCTTGGCCAGCCCCCCTGTGCTGGAGAGCCGCAGCAGCCAGGGCAGCCTCGCTGCGCCACTTCGCTCCTTGTACGGAGAGGCCGTGCAGTTGGGTTGGCACTGACTCAACATCAGCATCAGAAACCTGGCAAAGACAAAATCCCAGCAAGTACTGACTCTTCAAGGATTTAAACCAACAAACTCAGAGAATTTCTAAAGAGCCTATGCAAACTGAAACTTTTCAAAGCTGGGTTTTCAGAGAAAGAGTGTTGCTGGTACAAAAGCAGTTCAATTTCCGAAGGCCTTCTCCAGAACAGAGGACTTGACACAAACATTTTTCAGACAGCAGTCAGCAGGGGCCAAACTGTGTGTATCTTCTTGCTTGTCTTCTCACAGACATGTCAGTGTGTTTGATCAATACATTTTGAAAACAAGATTTTAGCTTCATATGGACGATGTGTGTTAACCAGCCCAAAGAGTGAAAAGTCTGAAAAATTCTAAGGAAGTACTTTAACAGCACTCATAACTCGCATTTCAGCAGCACATGCGGCAGGTGGTGCCATCAGTCCGACCAGCAATGGTTCTTGCAATTAGCATCAGCCATTAACAGACAATCAGGTTTCATGGGAGCCTGCACACAGGATTTAACGGAGTTCTGTGTAACCCAAAGGCTTGACAGGTCGGCATTATGTCCCTGAAGTAATTTGAGAGAAAGCATTCTCAAATATTCCTTGAAATTAATTTTAACTCAAATGTTCTTTGAAATTAATTTTCATCAATTTGTCATGCAATTGTCCACTGTGCTGCTGCGCTGTTGGAAAATTCAATTTGTACTCATAACTGCTGGAATTGGATAATGTGCCATATTTTGTATAAGTATCTTAATATCACATCTGGCTTAAATTCATCCATAGCTAGAGAACTAGGGTATGTTGTGTGTTAATTGCTTACCAGCCTCAGGGTGTTTTCAACAACTCTGGCACTGCCTGCTCGGACACAACTCGGACACGGGTTCCATCTCTTCAAAAAACATCTGTAAAATCCTTTGTTGTACCACAAAAAGGAGCGGTTGCCAATATCAGTCACTAGCAGCAACTCCCCATTCTACAACTGAGTTGAAAATTATTTGGCTGTTCATCCGAGACAAAACCAGAGGAATTGGTAAAGCAGCCCTGGCTTCTAGGCCATGCATAGTGTGTTAATGTATGCGGTACTGGCTCAACTTATGGATTTGATCGTCCTGAATAAGGCCTCTGAAATGTGTAGCCAACGGCGCGGGAAGTCAAATCCTAAAAACGTCTTAATGCTTAAAATTTCTGAGGTGTCAGTCTCTGGTGATCCCGAGGGGGAGAGATGAGGTAGTGGAGGCGGACGCGGGGACCTTCGCCGCCGAGCGGGCGGTGCCGGGGCCGAGGGGAGGCGGTGCCGGGGCCGAGGGGAGGCGGTGCCGGGGCCGAGGGGAGGCGGGGCCGGGGCCGTGGGGAGGCCGGAGGAGCCGGGCCCGGGCCCGGGCTCGGTGGGCGGCGCCGCATCGATCCCTCGGCGCTCGCGGAAGGCGCCGCGCGGCGGCTCCGTCAGCGCCGTTATGGCGGGGCTCATCAACTTCGAGGACGAGGAAGAGGTGAGGGATTACCTCGAGAACCTGCACATCGAGTACAGCTACCAGTGCTTCAAGGAGAAGGACCCGGACGGTAAGCGGCCCCGCCGTGCCCACACTCCCCCCCCCGCCCGCCGTCCCGGGGCCGGCGGGAGCCTCAGCGCCCTCACCGCTGCCTTGCAGGCTGCCAGCGCCTCGCCGACTACCTGGACGCCGTGAAGAAGGACTTTGCGGCGGCGGCGCGGGTGCTGCGCGGCAACTGCGAGGAGTACGGGCACAGCGAGAGCTGCTACAAGCTGGGGGCCTACCAGGCCATCGGCAAAGGTGGGTTGGGCGGTCCCGTGGCTGCTGCCGCTTCCCTCCCGCCCGCCCCTCAGCCGCCCCTCAGCCGCCCCTCAGCCCGCCTCTTCGTCGCCCGTGCCTCCGCCGCCGGTGGCCGGCACGGCGGAGCGGGTGTCGCGGCCCCTTCACCCGCAGCACCGGCGGTCTGCGGTGGCCCCGGCAGCAACCTGAGCTCCTCGGTGTGCGGGCACCGGGGCGGGAAGGGCGGCTGGTGCCCGTGAGGAAACAGCTCTTGCTTTTGCGAAGGTGCTGAACACGCGCGTTCCCTCCTGACCTCGAAGGAGGAACAACCTGTCCTGCCCCTTTTATGGCCACAGAGTAAAAGCAGGGGAAGGGTGGAAAACCTTAAATTGCTTCCTTCCGAAGAATCAACTCAAGGTTCACCATGTGGTTTGTTGGTTTTTATAATTACGTGTGTGTAAGCGGTAAGTATATCCAGTGCTGAATGTTATTGTGTGTTGTATTCTTATAGTTTGGATTGTTTCTCATCTCACTGTTCTTATTTAGAGAAAGTAAGGAAGAAATAAATTTACAGACTTAAGACTGCTTACATCAGGAAGTTGTTGGGTACTCTGCCCAAAATGTATATGCTAGTACAATAATGGGAAGCAGTTAAACTAGTGAGGCTTCTTCCAAATGACAATAGTGGTAAAGAACCTGTTATTTTTACTGTAGTTCAAAACTAGTAACAATCTCAGTGTATGTGTAGGTGTACTGGCAAAAGAATACTTTGCCTAGTGTAACATCTTTAGAAGTCCATAGGTGTAGTAGTGGAAAGAGTGTTTTGTGGTTTTGTTTTGGGTTTTGTTTTTTTTTTTTTTTTTGGTTGTAACTACTGGAGGAGTGGAGGAAGGTTTCCTAACCCGAAGACATTAGCAAAATCTTTGTAACTGAGACAATGATGGTGTCTCCAAAGTCCTAAATTTTGACTGTAGCATCTAAAGTGAGGGATAATGTGTTTCCCAAAGCCCTGGGAAGCATGCTGCAACGCAGAGGTCCCATCTGTTTTGGCATGTCCTTACAGTAATCTTTTGTTTCTTGGCTGACAGGTGGACTTGACCCAGATTTGAAAGCTGCCTACAACTCTTTTATGAAGTCATGTGAAAAAGGTGGGAAGAAATCAGTCAATGCGTGTCATAACATTGGGCTGTTGGCCCATGATGGGAGAGTAAATGATAATAAACCTGACCCCATTGTCGCTAGAGACTATTACACAAAAGCCTGTGATGGCAATTTTGCTCCTAGCTGCTTCAACCTCAGTGTAATATACCTCCAGGGGGCAGCCGGGGTCCCTAAGGACATGAACCATGCTTTGAATTACTCGCTGAAAGGGTGTGAGCTGGGTCACATATGGGCTTGCGCCAACGCCAGTCGAATGTACAAACTGGGAGATGGCATTGAGAAGAATGATGCTAAGGCAGAGGATTTGAAAAACAGGGCAAAACAGTTGCATAAAGAACAGAGAGAAGCCCAAAGTTCCTTAGTATTTGGGGAGTAAAACTGTCAGATGCAGTTACTAACGCTGCAGTTTTAAATGTAAAGTGAACTTATGTAAATTGTGAGCATACAGTTTTCATTTATAATAAATAACCTGTATTTGCATATGCAAATAAACTTCTAATTTTGTGGATGCAACAAACATGACCAACTCTGCCGTGCCTTTCTACATTTTTAAATACACAGGTTCTTAAGTGTATTGCTTAGATCCCACCTCTTTAAGGAAGGCAAAAACTTCTGGCCTTTTGGAAGTTTGTCCCCATGGTTTCCAAGTAGGAAAGGTGCTCTCTCATGTGTAATGCTTCAGTATTGAGGCTTGTGCTCAGACCAGTTCTAACACACAAAAAGATCACAAATGCAAGGTAACCCAGCCTGGACATTCAGAATTGTGCTCTCTCTTACAAGCAGTTATGGAACTTTGATAGTGTGCACACACAGGGTGATCTGCTGTGAGGCTGCTTTGTACCAGGACTGCTTGAGAAACCTGAGTGGGTTTATTTGCTGAAAGTAACATTTGTTATCCTAAGGTTGTATTTAGACTTGCTGATTTAGTTACGTAGTCATCATACCATCAAAATGCTACTTGGAGAAAAAAAGAGATGACTTCTTATAGGGAGAACTAGTAATTTGGTACCTTGCTAATGTTTAAATTATATGTTTAATGTCTATTTTCATCTGAGAAGTTTTGATTTCTCAGTCAGTCTAAGTTTTACGGTCTGTCAGTATAGTTATTTCACTTGTGCAAATGTTTCCTCTTTGATTGTAAATCAGTGTTATGGAATTATTTGATATAGTTTGATTTCTAAATAATTAAGCATTCAATTGGAGCCAAGCCAAAATATTTTGTCCAAGAACCTTCTTCATTAAAAAACTGAGTTCAGGAGAAAGGGCCATATGGGAAAGCAGTGAAGAAGCACGAGTGGATCATTTCAGCATACAAGTAAGAGCTGTTCCGTAGCAGTGTGCAGCCTTGGGATAGAGTTGTATTAAGCTGCAGTCTTCTTAAATAGACATCTGGCCTCCAGAATTGAAACAGATTTCTGTTGGGTGACAACCTGTGCTTTGCTGGTGCTTTGCCATTCATAATGTGAGCTGTGTCCGTGTGCACTCGCTGATTTGAAATGCCCACCTGTGCAGGGCCCTGCTCCGTGCGTGTGCCTGGCTCTGTCACAGACCTTGCTTTACCAGGAACACCGATTTGCACAGGGAGTGCCTGTGCAAACCCCACTGTCACTAGTCTCCTTCCTGCTGAACTTCATACTTTGGTGTTATAGTCAATCTGATGACTGCTTTTTGGTCCCATCTGCCATTTTCATATATTCATTGTGATATGAATCTTCTACAATACTGGTTTGGTTTGGTTTTCCCCTTATAGTAAAAAGCAGCTCGCAGTTGCTTTGTATTATGTTTTAATCATCCTGCTGGAACAAGCACGGATTTTGAGCTGCTTTCACATGATGTTTAAGTCTCACCACTTGCACTTTAAAACCATGATTATTTTGCTCTCTGCACACAGAAATACTGTCCTTTGCTTGGACTGTCAACTTCCTTAAGTGCAAGAAGTTCATCCAGGCAGCATATTGTCCTGGACAGTGGTTCTTGCTGTCTGCAGTGATTCCAGGTCCAGGGGGAACATGCTGCTTTAGGCTCTTAAAGTTTGAAGCTTTTCCCTGGTCAGCTTAGATCTAGAAACATGTAAGTCCTATTCAGATGATGCCAAGCCCAAAACAGTAATGATCTTGTATGTCAATATGTACACAGAAACATCTCTGCCTATAGATCTCGCAAATGAAATAGGTAGGAGAGACAGGCGGGAGAGGGGGGAACTTAATTAGCTCTGCTGAGCAGATGAGTTACAGGGGCAGAGCTCAAGAGAGCTGCCCCAAGCTGTGGGAGAAATAAGAGAGCTCGGAATTGGCCTACATCTACTGAATTACAAGTGAGCATCTAAGGCCAGAGGTTCCCCTGCAGATAAGGCGTGCACACAGGTTTTAAATACCTCTAGCCTGAACACTGGTTTTAGCATCCTGCCAACTGGTTTGTCACTGTGTCACACCTGCCATGTGTGCCTCACTGCTTTAGGCTGCTCTCCAGCGCATGGTGATCCCCCCTTATTCAATTACACACAAATCGTTTTACTTTCCTGCCAGCTTCTGGAACGTTATGTTCTATTTTTTATAATACAGATTTAGGGAACAAGGTGCTAACTGATCAGATTTTGGACTCAAATCCATAGCTTAGATGTGTATGTGTGTATATATATATGTAAACCATATTTATACATATTCTGAAACAGCTAAGTAGGGCAGTATATGTAAATGTATTCATGCACTGACATGATCCTTTATAATTCTGGTGTGTATAAATATATGTAAAATTTGTGATATATGCATGTATGTTTTGCTGGAAATTAACTGCTGATTTAGAACATGAATGCTCTGGCTGTGGTCTGAATAAAGACACAAACTTACTATTGAAGTAAATTAAGTGGGAGAAAAAAACAACACTGATTTGGCTATTGCCACAATTGAAAGCAGAATTGTTAGCATCTCATTCCATGTTGTCTCAGGCAGAGCATGTATAAATTAAAGCAGTTCTTCCAACTTAACAGCACTTTTAACAGGCTTCTTGGAAAGGCTGTGCTTACTGCTGGAGTAAAAACCCCAGCGGTACAGTGCAGTGATGATATGGGTACACTGTAACGAGAGATGGCAGTATATGAAAAACATTCTTGCATACCGTGGGTATAAGGGCTATGGCTGTTGTTTTCAGCAGGCTGGAAAATGAAAAATAGCAACGGTGACAAAAGCAGATGAATTTTTCTGTTAACATAGTTAATACTTTATGGCAGTTCAAGAAGGTAAAGCTCTTTTTGAGGAACTCACTTGGCCTGATTCTTTGCTAGGTACTACTCTGGCCACTTGTTTCACTTGGGGAAAGGTAAGTAAATGCTACCTCTGCAGAGTGTAACATTCTAGTAATAAAACTCTTTGGAAGCCATGTGTTTGGAAGAAAGCAATTATAGGTGGCTCAAGACGTTGGAGAATTGGGTGACAGTTTGAGCTTGTAATGCTGACTGCCTCCAAGTGGCTTGTTCAGATCCCCAGTCTGAACGAACCTGCTGTGCTAGAGCAGGCCGCTTTCCACCAGGACCAAGGCTGTCAGTGACCCCCCCTGGGAACTGCCAGTCAACACAGCAAACAGCCCCAGGGAATGTCCTCAATAAAAGTGACACACAGTGCGGATAATTAAAGCCACGTGTAAAGTGCATGTTGCGGGGAGATTTTTTCATAGCACTTAAGAACTCAGAGACTTGCAGAGTTTAAATATTATAAAATGAACTATTTTCATAAAAGCTGTCAAGTGTGTTAGTACAGAGAAGTTTATGAAGTATCATCCAAATTTGTACCACCGGTTGAAAAGGCAAACCCAAATTGAGGAAGGCTCTTTTGTTAAACTAAAGCACCACCAAAACCATTTTGAAGTGTTTTTAGGCTGTCTCTGAACAGTTAGTTTGCTGCCTGTTCTGGACACACCTGTATTTTTTTTTTACACAAATATCAATGATGCTGTAACAGATATATTCAGTGGGTAAGGCCCCCTCCTCTTTGATTATTTTCCCTCTAAAGTGACAAAGCATTTAAAAAAAAAAAAGCCAGTCTCATTTCAGCATATTATAAAGTATATGTGGTTAATACAGTCTATAGCAGAGACTATAGACTCTATTAATAGCAGTCTGTTCTTAACCTAGAGATTATGTTCAGGAGAGTAATCAAAATCCATTAAGAGGTAAAAATTATACTGCAAATCTTGGTTTATAACCATCTTGCTCTGATACTATGAGGGTATTACCAAAAGGCCGCTATCTTCCTGCTCTTTCTTTTTTACCTGGTGTTACAAGGGCTAAATTTTATGTCCTCTTGGGAAGAAAACTGTTCCTACAAAGCCTCTGAGGTCATAAAGCAAGAGTGATAGATATGTGATCATAATAGCATACTTGGAAATACGGAAGACCTGTTGGTCTCTTCAGGATCAGTGGATGTCTAAGAAATAAATGAGTTTATACTGGCTTCACAGCCACAGTTTCTGTGTTACACTGTAGTAAAGGCAGGTTTGCAGCTGGCTTACCTTTTATTCAGCTGTCAGTGACAACTCTCTGCAATGTATGTGCGAAGGTAGTTCTTGTATGTGTAATTGCCACACCAAGAAAGCAAAATAATAGTGTTCCTTGTTACAGTACCAACGTTTTGTTCAGTGCGGAAAGAAATTCACTCTGTTGGCAAGTTTTCACTTCATCATGTGAGAGAGAACTCGCCCAGGTAGCTCTTCTTTGGCAGATGGAGAAGGAAGAATTCCTCTTTCCCATGTGCTTCCCAGCATCTCATCCACTAGACCTCAGAATGACACGGTTCTGCTCAGGCCTGGGCTTTTCTGGGCATGAAGCAAAAGGCAGAGGTAGGAAAAGGAGTCATGGCACAGCAAGAAACAGATTAGAAAATAAGCAATATATCCAGTTGTACTGTTATTGCAATAACTTGTGCTGGAGTAACACCCAGGGGTTCAATTCAGGTCCTGATATTAGGCCATCTGTGTGCACCTGTGATGACACCCCTGATCCAGAGACAACAGGATTGTACAGAGTCCCTAGTACATATTTCAGTATCAAACACTAGTATCCTGCTCTGATTCTCCAGACAATTTATCAACAATATGGCCCAGAATCCACACAGAACTGATTTCTGCGAGACTCTTGAGACTTTAATGATCAATTTTGTGCCAAATTTTCCGTGTCTGATTTTGTATGCCATATCCATAGCCTCCCAGTACCTTTGTTTTTCAGTATCCACTTTTGAAGCAAACACAATAACCACTAATTGCACTAATTTCAGACTATATCACATATTTACAATTTGTTGTTATTGCCTTCTACTCTAACAGTAGTTACAATTACCAATGGTATATTCATTCCAAATATGATGTTTTATACTCCTTACATATGCACTTTGTTTTACAGTCTTGTTTGCAGTATGATTTTGTAACATAGTCTTTTTGTCATCCTCTTTTCCCCTAGATCAGCTACTAGGAACTTTGTATAACATGGAATTATCAAATTAGGGCCACTTTGGAGTGGTCATTTCAGAT